TTATTGCAGAGAACAAATGCAATTTAAAAAAAATGGTTATCTGTATTAAAAAATGAACATTAACATGAGTTAAATAAACTTGAAAACTGGGATGTCGCTCAGTGGTGAAATGGTTGCTGGTTCTAATTTTACACAGAATAATATCTTTGTAACTTTGAACTAGGCCAAACAAGAAAACAAGACAGAAAACACCCACTGATCACAGAATAACACATTGATAAATTTGTAAGATTTAAAAAAATGAAATGTTAAAGGGTACCATTACACAAAAACTTTCAGAATGCACATTAAAATGATCAATTAATCGGATTGAATATTAGTGCAAATTTCCCAAATAAAATCCAGAAGCGCGCTATAAGTTTTATTATCTCAACCAGTTGCTTAGTCTTATATGTATGAGCTTACTTGTAGAAATATTTTTCATTTCCATTGGTTAATTTATTTATCCTTATGTCATTTTCAGAAGATCTTTTTGGGGAAGGAAGCTACTCAGAATTCCGGAGACAAAGGTGCACACAGAGAATGGCAGTCAAGATTAGCCTACATGGAGAATGCATGACTGGCACTATAAAGCAGTAGGATATTTTAATAATAATAATACTGGAAACTATTGATGCTGATTATGGATTATCGCAAATGTGAGAAATTTCTGAGGGTTTTTCTGTGGTTTTACTTCAAGAATCACGCCATCTTAAGATAAATCGACAGGACTGGGGATTTAGTTCAGTGCTTTGCAAGTGTAAGGTCCCAAGTTCGAACCATGGTACCAAAACAACAACAACAACAACAACAAAAAGATAAATCAAAAGAATTTATCTCACATCTCTGGAACGACATAGGCAAAAGTATTTTGAAATACATCTTGCACATTTCCCCCAAAAAGACTCGTCAAGAGTAAAACTTCACTAGAACCTCATGCAAAAGAGAGATGATACTTGTCAAACTCTAACCCCCCTTCAGCCTTTTCATCTCACCAAGAGATGCAGGGAGCTAAGGAACATTTGTGAGGTCAACACCTACTGACTTAGGCTCAGGAAAAGGCTAAATGATTTCAGTACGGTTCCTTTCTTGATCTTTATATCACATCAACAGTGGATTAGGCTTGAAGATTAGGAAGGTACAGATTCCATCTAAGGGAAAGTTCTATAGGAAACGCTAAGCAATATGATAAACACAAGGATACCAGAACATTTTGAACATCTGGTATCTATCATGCCAAGAAACATGACAAACAATCCAACTCTTGGGTATATTCACATAAACTCTAACAGTAAAAGTCTATTTACTTCCTCTTAGTCGTTGTGTCATGTCTACTTTTCAAAAATATTTTACAAAAAATGTAAAAGTAGAAAGGAAAATAAAAACAACTAATAGAAAAAACAAAATAATCAGATGTGAATTTGATTTTTGAAATATTACGTAATTTAAAATAGTTATGATTAGTATGTTAAGGACATCATAAGAAGTAGTAGACAGCACACAAGAGAGGAAATACAAGGTCTAAGAAAGAATCAAAATTAATTCATCAATTCACCATTACTGAACTTCCAATAATAGTAAGCCTAAGTATGAAAAGCAAAGGAACAAAATTTCTAGAAGAAAATGCAGGTACCCTTGTGTTTTGTGATGAGCATTTAACTACACAAAAATTATAATCCATACATACAAAATTAGGTAAATTGGTCTTCAATAAAATTTAAAACCTATTCTAGGAAAACAACAGCATAATAATAAAAAAGGGCTTAGAAAAGATATCTATAAAACACATAAAAGGTAGTATCCAAAATATTCACAGAATTTTGGGGGGTGGGGAGTTGAGGCAGGATCTTGCTATGTAGTTCAGGCTGCCCTTGAATTTACTATGTATATGCAGTTATCCTCCTGCCTCAGCCTGCCAACTGCTGAGATTATAGGCCTGAGCCATCACACCAGGTTTAAATATTCAAACAATTCTTAAATAATGGGTGCAAACAATGTGAATTTTTTTTAAAATAGAGAAAACTTAATAAGTTATCTCACCAAAGATGTACCAATGGTAAACAAACAAAGAATGCTGTAGGGGTGGTACATACTTGTAATTCCACAACTCTGGGGGGAAAAAAAAAGAAGAAGAAAGTTTCTGTTCTGCCTGAGGCAGGAAACTAGTGCATGGCAAAGTGGCTGGGGTTATTGGGCATAAACTGCCAGTTTCATACACCCATTAATCATGGAAAATTGTCCTTCCTTTTTTGCTGGGATGAGGTTTTCACAAGAGGTTAGGTAGCACTCTTCAAACATTGATGTAGGAAAAGATTTTGTTATAGGAAAAGATTTCATGAACAAAACCTCATTTACATGTGAACTAGCACAAACAATCAACAAGTGGGATCTCTTCTTATAAAAACTTCTGCATGGCAAGAGAAACCAGCAATAGCATAAGAGACAAACTACAATGAGAAAAAAAAAACAAAACTTTTATCAGCTGCTCCTTAGACGAAGGTCTACTATCTAGAATATATAAAAAACTTTTAAAAATCAGACCTCCCGAATTTAAAGACCCAATCCAAAAATGAGCATCTGAAATGAACAGACATTTTTCAAAGATTAACAAACAGCAAATAAACATATGGAAAAAATGTTCAACATCACTGGTCATTCCAGAGATGCAAATGAAAACAGCACTGAGATTCCACCTCACTCGGGAAAGAATGGTTGTAATCATGAAATTAACCAATAACAAATGCTGGTGGGGCTGTGGGGAAAGAGGAACCTTGCTCTACTGTTGATGGGAGTGCAGACTGCTGCAACCACCGTGGAAATCAATATGGAGATACCTGAAAGAACTAGGATTAGAGGTCCCATTTGACCCAGCTCATCCCCTAGTGAGTATCTTTCCAAAAGTCTTAAAAGAATCATACCAAAGCAATATATGTGTGTCCAGGTTCATAGAGGCAGTTTGTAATAGCTAAAACTTGGAAGCATCCCACTTGCCCATAGGCTGAAGACTGAATGAAGAAAATTAGGATTTTAAAAAAGAAAATAAAGTACTACTCAGCCATAAAGAATGAGGAATTAGAGACCTCTATAACTAAATGGATACATATTGAGACAATACTCTTCAATGAAAGAAATAGGACACACATATAAATATAGAATAGTTTGGTGTGAGAAACTGATAGTGTAAATAAGGATCAAAAGGTATAATAGATAATGTGAAACAGGAAGAAAGGGACAAAGGGGAAGGGAAAGTGGAGGAATTGGGGAAAAGAAAAGAGGGAATGGAATTAATATGAGCAAAGGAAAATGGCAACAAAGTCTTTGTAAATGGCAAGCAATAGAGGAGTTGAAGGGAAGACGGGAAGGGGGAAAATAAGAGCAACACATATTATGTAAAGGTACAAATTTCCAGTGATGAATGCCATTATATTGTATACCTAAAATGTACCAATAAATTAATTAAAAATGAAAGCTCAAGCTCAGCCCGTAATTAATACTGATTTTATTACCGCCAGATCCAGTGGGTTTTCCATGGGATGGCATAGAGCTGATGTCAGAAAGGATATAAAAAATGATGGTCATTAAACTCAGGACTGCAGAGTCTTCTCACCAGCCTGCCCTGCTGCACCCTGCAAGGCATATTTCTTTTCCTACTTTAACAGGCTACACTCACTCTGCAGAGCACTTCTTTCCATAGCAATTTTTCTTCTTGAACACCTAATTTACATTTCCTTTTCTTTTTCTTTTGCTGTAAATTAAAGTTAATATTTCACTTTTACTGATTGTCTTGTTCAATTCTTGGAATTGGACATTAAGTGCTTGAAAAAGACCAACTAGTCACTAAAACATCTGGTAATGTGCCTGGCCAACTTGGTTACTTAGTGAGACTCTTTGAAAATTAAACAAAACAAAACAAAACAAAACTAGGTATTTACCTCAGTGAAAAGACCCTGAGTTCAATTCTCAAATCTCAGTACATACATTCACACACAGACAAACACAGACACACAAAACATAAAGAACGGAAAAAAGAAAAATATTTATTTTTGTCATTGATTCTATTAAATAATTTGCCTTTATAATGTTTATTACACTAGTCAGAATAAAGTTCTCTCAAACTTTAGAGTACATCAACATCATTTGGTACCTTTGTTCTAACACTGATTGTGTCTCACTCCACAGTCCAGCCAAAAAAAGAAAAAAAGTATTTTTTAAAAATCATTGTCATTGTTTAAAAAATAATTATGAGATACATTGCACATTTAGTAGAACAGCTAAAATCCAAAATTTTAAAGAAATGTTGTAGTGCTATAAGAACTACCATTATTGTTGCCAAGAAGGCACAGAATTTATGCCTAGGATTTGGAAGATATCTTAATAGTTTATTATATAATTCTTACTATATGATCTAAAAGTTTTGCTCCTGGACACTTATGCAAATGATTAGAAAACTTATGTACATGCAAAATCTTTTAAACAAGTGTTTATAACAGCTTTATTCATAATCATTTAAAACTGGGATCTAGCAAGATAGCTTTCAATAGATGCATACATTTTTCAATTTCACCAAAAGATGTGGTATATTTATATGATGGAACATTAGTAAAATTAAAATGATCCATCAAGTCACAGAAAAACAGAGATTGAACCTAAAGGTATATTTCTAAGTAAAATTACCTTGTCTCGAAAAGCTAATCTGAATCTAATTACAGTATATAATATATCAGAAACTGCAAAACTATGGAGAATAAAGACAAGTGTTACCCTGAGATTGGATGGAGAAAAATCTTAATGTATGACAAGAATTTTGGGGTCATTGAAAATATCCTATGTACCATTACAATGTTAGACACTACATTGTGTAGTCACCAAATCCCATCAAACTTTGAAGTGCAGAGCGAATCTCAATGTATACAAATAAAAAAAAAAAAAAAGAGTTTGGGAAAAAGGAGGTTTGGAGATCCCAGAAGTTACATTGCAACAAGAAAATATAATTGCATAAGGAATGTATGGAAAAAACTCACCAGATGAAGTAGGGCAGGGGAGTTATTGATGTAAAGTACCCTGGAAAGGTGCGTAGCCCTCAAACCTAAACAAAAAGGAGGAGCACATTAGCATTATACTTCAGCTTCTGTGAAGGTATAAGCTAACAGTTCTCTCACTGCCTTCATGTTCCTTGTACTCATGCTTAATTAGTATGGATACAGATGCTTGCAAATAAAATTATACACACACGTAGTACACCACCTTCATTTCTATACCAGCTAAGAGGAGCTAAAATATGTAAGACCTCAGTAGAAACAAGCACACATACTGTCCACATTTCACCCTTGAATGGAGTATCATTCTCCAATAAAACAAAAACAATAAATAAGAATATTTGAGGAGAAGGCTAATTTGAGGAAGGGTAGGCTGATTCAACAAAATGTAAAAAATTAGACTCAACCTCTTACAGCACTACAGAGTTAGAAATTGCTCAGACTACAAACCAGACACTGATGAGGTTTTGTGAGTGTGGCAGAGGAGGCGAATGAAAGATCTCCTAATGGCCAAAGTTGGAACAATTTGAGCAACAAAATAAAAGTTTATTGGATTATAACCCAAAATATTTATAAAGACTATGATTAACTTCTGATATACATAAATGAATATATATCCTTCGCTAATAGATACCACTTGCAGAACAATGTAAACAATTTATATGTGAGGGCTATATATAGTGGCTTTCTTCCAAAGAATATAGTCTAGAAAGTAGGGGAGTAACTTTGCAGTCAAGAAACCTACAAAAATTTCCCTGTCCCTGTGATCAAGAACTATGCCAACAATGACAATGTCATCAACCTATACCTTTGATGTGATCAGATGAAAATAACACTCTACTTCTGAGTCCTTCCTCTGAAAGAGCCATAGCCTGAAGCAATCATGTTTTAAAAACATCAGTAGATTCCAATAGAGGGGCATCCTAAATAATTCTGGAACGGAACTCATGAAAATTGTAAAGGTTGTCAAAAACAAGGAAAACTTCACAGACTTTCATAACAGAAAGGAACCTAAGGAGACCTCATGACTAAATGTGTTACAGTAACTGTGATGGGTCCCAGAACTGAAAAAATAAATAGGTAAAAGGCAAGGAAAACTGTAAAGTATGGGTTTTACTGAATAATAATATCCTGATATTGGTTCATTGATTTTAGTAAAAGTACATACTAGTGAACAATACTAAGGAATAATAGTAATATTAACTGAGCATAGGGTACACAGAATTATCTGTACCCTTCTGTTGAGTTTTCTCATAAATGTAAAACAGTCAACTTTAAAAAATGAAAACCTGGGCTGGGGATTTAGCTCAGAGGTTTGGTGGCCTGCCTTGCAAGCACAAGGACCTGAGTTCAATCCCCAGTACCCCCCAAAAAACCCAAAAAATGAAAACCTTAAAAATGTTAATCACACTATATTAAAAAAATCAATACAGAAAAATATTTCCTAAATATTTTAAGAAAAGATCTATAGTCCAATTTCTATAAATTGGCAAAGATATGCACAGAAAAAGAAATACATATTTTGTTTGAAGAAATACTCATCCTCATTCATACTAAGAAAAACTAACATGAGAACTAAATTGTGATTTTTTTTTTTTCCTATTGGGAAACAAATTCTTAATGATAACACATTGTGTTAGAAAGACTATGGGGAAATAAAGACAAATTCACTGCTTTTGGAAATACAAGTTAAAAATCACTAACAAGTGTAACTTGGCAGTACCTACCAAGTTTCCTAAATTTTCAGACTATAATATTTTCTAGGTCCACATTTCTCTTTTTTTTGGTACCAGGGACTGAACTCAGAACCTTGCACTTGGGAGGCAGGGAAGGTGCCATGGAGCTAAATCCCCAGCCCTTCAAACTATGATATTTTCTGAACTCGATTTTTTTAATAAATACATTTCTTGCTTCCAATCTTATATAGATAAAATTAAATGCCAATTTATTTTGGAGTAGTTATTGTAATGTTAAATATTACTAAATATTAAAATATATCAAAATCATGTACACTATTAACTTTTTAAAGTTTTTATTACCATTAAATATACATAATGTGTATTCTAATTATGTGTTATACAAATATTAAGTAAAATATTAAATATAGTTCTAAATACAGAAAATATTTTATAATTCTTAAAATTTTAAAATATTTCACACATCAATTTATGTATATAATTTAGTTTGATATCAATTGTAAATTATCTACTATAAATGATTATGACATTGATTATCAATTATAACTATAAGATTAATTATAGCTACAAGGTTAGTTAAATTTTTATGGAATGCAGCAGCATTCATTTGGGAGTGATTTTTAAAAATGTAGATTCTGTTTGTTTTTTTGTACAGGGATCAAACTTAGGACCTTGCTCTTGTGAAGCAGGCATCGGAATCACTGAGCTAAATCCCAGCCCAACAATGAGGCTTCTGGATCCTAAGTACAGTTGATTTGTGGTTAGTAGGTTAAGGCACAGGATGTAGTTTTACTTCTTGTTTTTGTTTTGTTTGTAACAAGTTATTGATATATCTAGTAATTGAAACAGAATTTGAGAAACATGACTTGCCTTGAAGAAGAAAGCAAACTATTACTCTCAATCCAATACACAATTGATGTACTTTCATTTCCATACATGGTACTGGAGAAAAATTTATCATTGTATGGTGCAGGGCATTTTTGTTAATATTAAGGTGTCTGGCAAAAAAGAAAATATTCATATTAAACTAGACATTAGCTTCTATCACATTACAGTATAGAGTGTGATTTCCCCTTTCCAGCTGACAAAAATATTTTCCAATATTTCTTATATAAAAGGGAAAACTGTAACTGACCTTTTAAAATAATTTTTAAAACTTAAATTTATCAGTACTTTTTAGGTATACATTATGATCACATTCATTATTATTTGCTATTTTCAACATTATTTGTTATTTTTAATTTGAAAGATGAAGAATTATATTGGACTGTATGCAATTCTGAACACAACATTTTAATATATAAAATGGATTTCTAATTCACTGCATAGATATATAAAACTGGGTGTTAAAAATTATAGTGTATCATGTCAAACATACTACAAGGAAGAGTAATCTCATTCATATATTCTGGCTTTTTTTTTTTCATTTTAAATGTAGTGGATAGTAAAATAACTCTAATAATGGTCTCAACTGTTGAGAAATTAAAAAAAAACTTTGTTAAATTGAAGTATAACAAAATTTATAACTGCTTTGGTGCTTTAAGATCTGAACCTCAGTCTTTTCTGAGACCAAGTGGTTCTTATATTTCATTAAAATTGACAGTGATTGACTTTAATCAGTTAAAGGGAAAATGGGATATTTAACTATAATTCATTTGCTACTCTATTATGCCTGTGACATTCTGTCTTGAATATTTAAAAATAAAAAACAAAATAATTTCCTGTAATGTGTATTTGCCATAAGTGTGTATTACTTTACTGAGTTTATAAAATTGCTCTATCTAGGTTTACTAATACTCTAAGCTTTTCCCATAGTAAACAACTTAAAATTGTGCCATAAAACTCAAAGGTAGATTAATGAACAATCCCAGGTATTATAGAACACTAGAAAAATTAGCACTATGAGATTTAAGCATGTTTATTTTGTAATTTCTCCTGGCATGTAGTTTTGTTTTCCCCTTAAATTCTTTTATTGGTACATTTTAGGTATACAGTACAGTTACATTTCTCACTTGGAACTTGGACCTTTACATGATGTATCTTGGTTCTTATTTTTCCCTATTTCCCTGCCCTCTCTTCAACTCGTCCACCCTTCCCTATTTACAAGCACTTTGTTTCCGTTTTTTTTCCTTTTCTTATAGTTTTTCTTTCCCTTGTTTCCTTTCCTTTACTCCTTTGCAACTTTTGTTCCTATTTCACATTATTATTTACACTTTCAGTTTTTCTCACACCAGAGAAAGTATTTGGTATTTACACATGCATGTCCTATTTACTTTGCTTAAGAGTATGGTATTTAATTATTTACAAATAATAATAGAGGTTATGGTGGTGGTGATGACCACTACAAAAGGAACAAAACAAAAAATTGAAAACTTTTAGAATTTCGAAGAAAACTCTAGAAATTTATTTTTAAATGTAAAATAATATTTCATAAAATTCCTCTTTGTCTTTATTTTTCATACCATCACCTTCTCTGATAAGCTGGAGAGTCTCAACAAAACCTTCTCTTTTCTGAAATTAGCTTCAAAATAGTGCATTTCCAATCCACTATGATCAGACTTCTGTCTGTTTAACTCCCTTTCCCTTTGTCAAACACCCATAGCCTAATCTACCTTTTTTCTTTCTCTTTTTCTACAGGTAGATACCATTCCTTTCTAACAGCAATGAAAATCAAAATAGTATTCTTCCTGATCAAATATGTCCTTCAGGAACTCTTCTGAATAATTTAGTCACTTTCCAGGAAACAGCACTAGAAAGCTAGGATTTAATAAATATAAATTATCAGTGGCCATGCACAAAGCAAAATGTTTAGAAGGGGAAGTTGGAGTAATACTGTTTTACTTTATTTTCCTATGGATTGAATTCAAGCCTTGGTGATTGCTAGGCTAGTCTTGATGTCTGGGTTAAAGCCCAAGCTATTAAGTTCTGTTCATAATGTGTTGATTCAATCACATTACCACCCTTAGTACAACTGAGCTGAGCCCAGAATGATCATGCTACCAGAAGATTCTCAAGTAGTTTGCCCTATTTCTTCTGGAGGGCAGTGCATATTTGTATGCTCAATCTCATGAAGCAGTCTGATGTAAACAGTAGACTAGTTTCTAGGTAATGTCCTAGAGTCATAAAAAAAAAAAAAATTAAAACTGAATTATGCCCAACATTTTAAAAATATTGTTAAATTAAAAATCCGTATACTATTATATATTATTTATTCTCTTTTAAAAATAGAATCTTGATGGGCTGGGAATTTAGCTCAGTGGTTCTGCCACCTGCTTCACAAGCACAAGGTCCTGAATTTGATATCTGATACCAAAAAAGAAAAAAAAGATGGACTCTTGAAATTATCTTATGTA